TTTAGTTTTGTTTCAGTATGATTACTGTGTGTGAAATTGATAAAATTGATTATTGCACAAAGAGAACAATTTTGCTGAAATATCTAAAACTTTAGTTAGACACAATCTGAAAATAATTATGTTGAATTATCAAAATAATTATGTCAGACGTTCAAGCAGATTGTTAGAATATAAAAATTTTTTGCTATATCATATTTAAGTTTTCTACATAATTATTTTGATGATACAACAAAATTATTTTCAGACCATTCTAACTAAATTATTAGTTAGATGTTTCAGCAGAATTATTCTTTCCGTGTATAGTCGTGCATTTTCATACTCAAGTTACTTCAGCGCTCATTATCTATTTACATAATTATATGTATCTTAATTGTATGAGCTACACTACATAAATTATATTCTATATGCAGTTCGAACCTCGTTTGTATATTTGATGTATCTACACAAGCAATGGCGAGAAACGTGTATCGCGAGGGTTTAGCGTACCGGCTTCTCTCTCTGAAGGGCCTTTGGTAAACTTTGACATGTAAACCTGTCGAGGTAACCCTCTAGCTGCGGCCGCTTATGCGGTAGCTCGGAAATATAATCGTTTAATGTCCGCGTAACACGCTCTTGAGACGATGGTTGCGCGGACCGACTAAGAAATTTACACAGCCGCCGGCTTTCACGCCTGCTATTAATTCGTTGCTCAGGCGCACGGATACAGCAGTTAATCTCGTCGGCTTTTCTTGACAGGGTTGTGCCGTAGACTATAAAATTTCTCTCATGTATCTAAAAGTGATTGCATTTACTTCAATCTTTGTGAAATACCGTTCGATCTACCTTACTTTTACTTCTTTCTATCACGGAAAAAAAAGTAGATTGGGTGATTCAGCAAAGTCATAACTTGCTACGCGAGTACATTTATAAACGAATTTAACAAAGAAATTATGTCTGTAAGCAATTATTAGTATGATAATTCAGCTATTTTTTTGCTATAATGAAAATTGCTAACGTAACAAGTTTTCTTCCGAGGTGGTAACCAATAGCTGAAATATTGCCCCACAGATTACATGATTTTATGTGATTTCATACGATTCATGTGATGAAAAATAATTTCCCTCACTATATATAAAGTTATTTGGTAAAATAAACGATTTTATCTGATATTATACAATTATTCCTTGTAGTTGCATATGTAATTATCGGATTATACATAAAAATTTCATATAAATTTTATAATGATTTCGAGAACTCTATCCCACATTACATTAAGTGGTTACCCCCTCATTTTCTTCATTGCAGTAGCAAAAGTCATCTTAGCTAGCATATTTTGTTAAAAATTTTGATCTATATTGGATTGATTCTCGTAAAAAGTTATCTTTGGTGTATTAATAAATTTGCCATGCTATTACAACAAATATGATTGCCCATAATCGCTAATTTTATTTAGCTGCAAAACTTTTTTAATTTAACATAGAAAAATCTTCATATATCATAGCTGTTATAGATTTGTTGAATCAGTGAAGTTTTTAATTGTTTTGGCAAATCTTTTCTCTGTATACGTATAAAAAAAGTATTTACAATAAGCAAGTAATGGAACAAAATATTTACAATTTCTTGCTATGAAAAAATTTTACAGTAAATATAATATATTTACAAAAGAAGATAGACTGTCTCCTTGATTGGCGTGGATTATGAATGCGACATGGACATTAGAGCGACAATTTTCCAAGCAATTTCATCTCGCAAGTGCGTAACGAAGTGCGCATTTTCCTGACAAAAGGCGATGGAAGATCGGAGCGACGAGAACGAACTTCTGTGCGCATGATATTAATGTTGCACGGTCCGATTTCTACCGGGTGGGTAATTGACGTGTGTATGTTGTACTGTTGCCAGAAATCGTCAGCGCACGGATGAGATTAATAAATATTATAGAAAGAGGCGAAAGGAATGTACTCCTGGGATGCACGTGATTTAAAGAGGCAGCTTGCCTCTCCGAGAGCCATTTTTAATAAATAAACCGGCTACGTAAAATTACTCGGGAGATTGTACCTTTTTTTATGGACCGCCGGGTAATCGTTTCTCCTGGCTCGGTCCACTCGTCACGCGGAATAATTAATAAGCTCGAAACGGACAGATGCGACCGGACGAAACGATGGAAACGTCGACACAATGCGACGTGTATTTAAATGTCCAATCTGGCGAGATTCGTCTCAATAAATTTCCCAGCTCAATCGACCGGCTTTACTCTTTAAAATCCATCGAACATGCTGAACGGGACGATAAAATGCAATTTCTATTGACAAATGTATACAGGTTATCCTAGTATCGGAAAATGTTTTGACAAATTCTTTGGCGTGTATTATGTTTTATACACGATCGGTTTTGTATTTAACGAAAGGTATATCTATTATCAAGGTTCGGTAAAATAACTGGTATGACTTATTTAAAATAAAAAATATAAAATAAGTTCCAGAAACTTATTTAAAATATAAAATGAGAAATAGGCCACAAGAAATTATTTAAAATATAAAATAAGAAATAGGGCCTGAAAATGCATTTATTTATTTAAAATATAGAATAACATTTATTTAAAATATAAAAATAATTTCTCTTTTATTTTAAATACGTTTTCGAAAGGTATTTCTTATTTTAAATAAAAAATAGATTTCGAAAACTTACTTATATAAAATAAAATAAAAAATGTGTATTTTAAACAAACGTTTCAAATAATAAATACAAAATATTTTAATGATTTTTTTTATTTATTTGAATATATGCATATATACATTTATAAGTATAACGTTTCAGTTTTTTTATAGCTATAGCTTATAATTAATACTTAATAGTATTAACTCTACGTGGACTAGGTAGAAAATCAACATGGATCATATATCTCATACCCCGTGCTATATTTTATCATAAATATACTATAATTTAATTACTCACTGTCACTTTTACCGACGGATCGGTAACATAATTGATACAATTTATTTAAAATAAAAAATATATAAAATAGATTCCAGAAAATTATTTAAAATATAAAATATAAAATAAGTTCCAAAAACTTATTTAAAATATCGAATAAGAAATAGGTCAGAAGAAGTTGTTTAAAATAATAAATACTAAATAAAACTCTTTAATTTCTTCTTTATTTAAAATATATATTTTAAATAAATTTATTTGAAATAAGACCGAGCCCTGTCTATTATAGAAAAAAATTTGCAACAGTAAATCAACATACGTTAATTTTCAACTTTTCAATTATTTGTAAAGATTAATATTTTATTTGTCGGTTAGCGATCGTATTACGATTACTAACGAGCTTTCGATTACCTGGCAGAATGATTCATCAATTCATCGTGAGTTTTCGATTATTTTGCCATCCCCATCCCTCACTAAACGTTTAACGCATCGCATACTTTGATGCAATTATTTCTTTTTTTCAATAGCTTTTCCATTAATAATTCATTTATCAATATTCTATATAATCAAATAAGTGGTATATAGTACAAGTGAAGAAAAACGAGATAAGAGATACAGCAATTTTGGGATAGGTTTTTATTGATATTGATTTTTGCATGCTTGTAACGCGTGACACGACCCAGCAATTTACTTTTGCAAAATTCTCCCTTCTGGCAAGTACACAATTACACACACGGTTCTTGTCACGCTTTCTGAAGCCATTGTCTATTACGATCGCTAACGAGCCTTCAATCACCTGGCAGAACGCCTCGTCAATCCATCGCGAGTTTTCGGATTTTCCGATCACTTTGCTATCCCTCGTTAAACGTTTAATGCATCGTAAAGTTTGATGCAATTATTTCTTCTTTTGCAAGCTTTTCCATTTCAACGCTTCGAATTTTATTAAAACTGGTATAAAATATTACGACAAATAACCTATAATTTATTATTCAAGAATTAACAATCTAAATTTTCTTATCAAGAATTTTTATTATTTATTTTAATTTAACATTCTAAATTGATTATCAATAATTTCTATCGTTTTGTTAATTACTTCTAAGGAACATCTTATAATTAGTAAGTAACAAGCGATTTTCTCGATAATTATTCATTGCTGTGCCGAGATATAAGTTTTCGTTAAGGCATATTCTATTCGGAAACTTTGCAAACAGGTCCGTTGAGTTTATTATTTACGAAAGCGCAGCACGAAGAAAACCGGGAACGGATTTGCTATAATTATTGGGTGCGAAAAGTGAAAACGCGTGTACACATCACGAGCTAGGCAGCAGTGAAGGGATGCTAGGTAACTTTCTAGACGCTGATTAATCCACAACTCTGAGTAATTTATAGAATAGATTCGCGGCCGCTTCAAAGGTTACGCAATGATCACGTAACTTTTTGCAGCATATTTCCTTTGAGCTAGCTTTCGAAGCTTAGTTCGGATTTTATTGCATTATTTTATAATGTAAAATTTAGAAATTAATTAATAAAAAATAATTTTAAAAATTAAAAAATTAATTAAGAATAAAATTATTTTAAATTATAAATTAATTTATACAAATAATGAATTTTTCAATTAATATAAATGTAAATAATATTACAATAAAAAAATAAAAAATAATTTTGTCTTTTAATTATCTTTTTTTATCTTCTCCCTCTCTTTATCTTCTTTATTCTTAGAAATTCGTAAAAACAAAGTATAAATGTCAAAAGATGTCAGATAATTGAGATAATAGTCTCACTCCATCAAAATCTTTCATCTCGCATTTACTGCGGACTAAAAGAATGACGTTTGAGGGTGCTCACGTGCACTTCGACGTTCCTGAAAGTTATCCGGTGGGGGATAAGGGGTTGTTGCTGCCGTCGACCAATGGGGGGTGCGCGTGCCCGATAGAGAGAAAAAGAGAGGGACTCGCAGAGGGGTTGCAGGAACACGGTGGCGTCGTCGTTTGGTAGCGCCGCGACGCCCTCGACGCGAACTAGACGTTCTCTGTATACGGCACCCCTAGACTCCATGGTATTTCTAACCTAACCACCCTTGCGCACCACCCCGTTCGTGCTCGCGTGACGTGTGTGTTCCGTGGCGCGCTGCGTTATATCGTTTCCCTTCTCGTTCCTCGGCGCAGTACGCGCGTTATCCTTGTTCCGGAAGGTTCGTTGCAACCAGGTGCAAAGAGAGAATAGTGAGAGCTGAGAGGGTGTGAGAGAACACGAGAGAAAGAGAGACGGAGAGGGGAGAAGCCAGCTGGCTCCAGGCTGCTCGGCGGGAGTCCTCGAGGGTGGAAACAACTCAGACTTTGCTGTAAGTATTTTTGTTACTATATACAACTAACTTCACGAATAATGCTCTTCGAAGAAGAACAGAATTGTTCAGGACTCGAGGAACAACACTGTCATCAATGGCATCAATGCCTAACATCGATGACATCGATGACATGATTTCGAAAATACCCTCACGAAGAATGGAACTCAATCAACCTCTTCGATTTCCATGTTTGTATATACATATACAGACACAAATACACACACATACACATACATGTTGCTATATATATGATGTAATGCGATAAAATCTAATGGCGTAATATATGTCGATCTTCTCTATCGTATCTTTATACGAGAAAACTTATTTTTAATTCTGATGTATCAATTCTACAAATAAGATATGTGAATGAGGATTCAATAAATATATTTTATAAATAAAGAATAGATTCAATTAAAGACGATATATAAATCTCTTCTTTTTATTGATTCTCTGAATATGACGTATCTTGATTTTTCTTGTAATGTTGATTCGATGAATCCGAAATATAAGGGAAAATACAAAAGAGGAAATAATACAATAAGTAGTCAATAAGAGGAAATAGAATAGTAGTCAATAAGAGGAAATACAATTTCCTTATTCATGTATCTTATGATACATCTAGCAAGAGCAACCAGAGCTGTCTCTTGATAAATACAAATTTTACATTCTCCATTCGTGCTTTTGAAGTTGTTGGTGCGAGCTTAAATCTTTTTCTGGTTATAGAGCGATAAGTGTGCTCTGGTTATTGCGAGAGGTAATTCTCGCCTATTGTTCTCGCGCACTGCTGATAAGCAGGGGACGCTTTTTCTTTTTCTACGTGATGAGAATTCGCGCCCAACAACTTGCCAGCATTACGATCTGACCTATAAAGTTGCCTGGTTTTACTCCTCTCTGTCGCGTTTTCGAAACGATCGTATAAAAAGTTGTAACCGCCACCGTTATTAAAAAGCATGACGGATATAACATATGCTAGCCAACTGCTGAAGGCTAATGTCTTCAGTCATACGTAAAATATTTGTTGCCGATCTATAAAGTCTTAGGTCTTCTAACTTTCATAAACTATACAAAAGAATAACAAAAATAAGTTGACATTATATATTTTTTTAACTGTTATTTTATATTTTATTTAATCGCCATGACTCTCTGAAATATATCAGATTTTCTCTCTAAAGCTCTAAAATTGTTTACAAAGACCCACTCTGTTACTTCAGTCTATTAATTACATCAAGATTCTGAAGGTAGAATGCTAACTTCATCGAAGTGAGACTGTCACGATTAGTCGTTCGTAATGCAATTATCAATTAGTCCTTGACAATCAAGGCATTTGTCGTGTCTAACTACTGTATGTACCTAGGTATGCAGAAGGATTGTATAAGCGAGAAGTCGAGCGGATTCGAGAAGAGGATGTAGAATTTTATATATTTTCGTTGCGGCAGGTCGATACGCAGTAAAGTTCCCGCAGTAGTCCTCGCGAGTATAGCGCAGACGGACTCGATTCTGATCGAAATAAATCGCGCGCGGGGCCTTGATTCGAAGATCAATCTCGTGTAATATATTTAAGGGAAGGATCGTGCGCGAGAGGCAAACAGTGCGGAAAAAAGACCCTAGTGTGTAATTTTCTCCTTTCCTTATACTCCATGCTTAAAGCTCTGGGATTTCGCGTATCGTTCGTGAACCGAAGAATGAAATCGATACGCACGAGACGTGTGTCACGTTCCTCTTTCCTCATCGATGAGCTTTTAATCCTCTGGGCTCGCCTGATGGCACGTGCTATCCTAATATTTAAACTTGCCTAACTTAGGAAAGAGAGAATAATGTAAGCCTTCTATAAATCAAGATTTACTGTCCAGTAAGCTTAAAGGGAAAGCTCTTAGTTCGAGGAAAAAAAAAGCTCATTTCCTTTAAATCATTATTCTCCTCTTTCTAATAAAATTTTAGTGTGATAGAATATTAATTTTAATGCAATAGTTTTTAAACAAACTTTATCGTGCGATTAAATAAACGATCATCCGTCGCGTTCTCAAAACTGCACGATTTATATCCCTCGCATCCCCTAGCTTTAAGCCCTCTCAGTCGCTCCATTCATACCTCTAAAATTCTTGTTCGCAAAGAGGGGCAGTCGCGAAACCGCAGAGAATGCTCAGATAAATAGATCATTTGCGAAAAGGCGGGGCGCGAAACTGAGAGAATAAGCGACGACAGAAAAAAAGACAGAGAGGAAGAGAAACGAGAACAAAAGCCGACAAAAAGCGATCCCGCCTTTCTTGCCGGTTTTTATACAGCGTCTTCCATCTTTTTCGTTTTCATATTTCCGAAGCGTGGAACGCGTGTCTCCCGCAGATACACATCCGTGCATTATTATTTTCCCTCCGCGCTTATTGTTCCATCGCTGTGGGTGGCAGCAGCCTTCGCGAATATTTTTTCTTCGCTATCGTCGTTTCTTCGTTCCTCGCTGTCGCATCTACGTTGCTTCTTCCTTTGTCTCCTTGGAAACCTTGCAGTAGTTATGCGACGTTCGGTCCCGGTACTCGACAAGCGCAAAGGATACCGGTGGCGAAGGAGGGTGCGCAGGGTTGGGGGAGGGGGTGGGGAACCCGACGGGTGCGAGAGGATACGGTCCAGGAACGTGACTTGGATGCAATATTTAAAAGCAGCGCAACGTCAATACTCTCCTCTCAACCGGCGCTCTTTCTCGTCGTCTACTACGCTCCATCGCCGAACCTTCCTTCGAGGTCGAGAGGAGAGAACCACCAGTTACCCTAATACGGCACTGAATCGGCCCCGTGGTCTGACCTTAACCCGGGATCATCCCCTTGTTCGATGAGAAGGGTTTTCCCGTACGTCCCGCCGTCCGTTTCCTGAATTTCGTTTCTGCGCTTTGACGTATGGAAAATTCGGTGACGTTCAGTTCTGAGGCCGGTATAAATGAGGGAGAACTTCCGAGTGTGTGTACTTAAGGCCATCGTGAATCGTGAATGCGCTCTTTGACTATCGTGGGTCAAAAGGCTGCTTAAACATAGTCTCTATACGGTTGCATCGTATGTCATCAAACGTCGCTTTGAAAGCCGTCTTTTGCAACTTTACCCTTCAACCAAAGACATCATTATCGAATGTAAATGTGACCATAAAAAATTACTTGAAAAACTTATTTTGTGCGACATGTACATTAATAATCAAAAGAGTTAACCTTATTAAATTTTTCTTGCTCGATATTGTGACAGAATATTTATTAATAATACGCAAAGTGAACATTTAGGCTGCGAATTATGTGAAATTTAGGACATAATATTGCGACCATCGATGATATTATAAGCGCACGAATATTTTATCATTTCCTGACGTGACTCTATAATTTATTGCTAATGCCTTCCTGCACTGCCGGAAAATCATCCTCACTCCCTTCTGTAAGCAGCGAGCGGCGAAAACGAATGAGAAACCAGCAAAGAGAGAAAGATGTACGAGCGGTGATATAACGGTGAGAAAATGCAGGAAGTTATGACAATTATGAGGGGTGGCGGGGAAGGAAGAGACGTCTAGTTGTGCAACGGCTCGTGAAATGAAATCGGAACGGAGGACGATCGTTTATAAGTTCGACAGATGGAATTCTCCCTCATTTTTACTCGCTATCACTCTTGCAGTATTCTTCTCGCAGCAACAAACGTCTCTCTATAATCTAATTAGAATATCTGACAGGAAGATAAAAATGAATATAAATCTCTCTCGACATGCTTGGTCATTGATGACATATTCGTTCGTCACTCCATCATCGATTAATTTAATTTATGCATTAATCTGATTACTCGAAAACAAATACATGTTCTATCGATTTCAAAACATGCGCGAATGTCTTTTCAGAGAATATACTTTTCACAGTTTCTACTTTGAGAGAAATAGAGGTTGATGGATATTAACTTGGAAAAACCCCAGGGCAATTCTTTCCGCTCGCTAGATATCTCTTTGCACTTCGAACCCGGGAGCCTTTGACGCTGGAGGGAAAGACACGCCGAGACGTGTTCTTCCTTCCTTGTCTAGTAAATTCGCGGAGCAATCCAAAGTGGCGTATGCAGGTCACGAAGAGAAGATCCACGTTCGTGTAGCCAAGGTTGACACGACCTAATTAAGAGAAAACTATAAAGTTCCTCACGTTGCCACGTCACCGGCTCTTGCAATACTCTTTTTATTAATTGAATTCTGGTCTCATAAAATATTTTTTCATCTAAGGGATCTTTTAAATTTTATATTTTGTAAAATGCTCTTAGTAAATATATTATAAAATGCTTAGTAGTAAATTCTTATTACTGAATGGGTAAATCTGTCTTTGCGAGGACAGATGTAGAAGTAATTAATTTGTCGTGAGCTTTATTATCGCAATAAATCGCCACGGGTTCCGACGTGGATTAGGATTGCCTTTTATAGCTGATTAGCACCGATTAAAGTAAATATTTAACTCGCTTTGTGTTAATCACTAAGTAGGGTTGTAGAAAGGGGGTGCAGTAACGCAACCCCCCGTCGAGTCGCGACGGGAGCTGGATTTATGGCGGCCGTAGCGAAACTCGCTTTCTCGGAATTTCGTAAAATTTACAAGCTTATTCCCTTAGCAAAGACAACGGACCGAACAAAAAAACAAGCGTGAGAAGTGTTGAAATGCCAACGTTTCCTTTTCACCCCTTCCCCAACGACTCGCCATCGTCGGTTGACTTCGAGGGCAATACCTTATATGAAATTTCATCCGGAAAGAAACTCTTTTTATCTTTGACAAGAATCGTGTCATACATTCTGCGAGTCGCTGTCATTTCGTGTAGAAGATTTGAAATATTATATGAGATACGACTTGCTGGAATTTTGACTAATGTAAAGCGCAAATAAAAGGATGCTTCTACGTTATCTGATTTACATTTTTAAAAAAGTAATAATATGTATAAATAAGTAAAAGAACGTCATATATAACAATTTTTTAATAAGATGTTTTAATACTATTTGCACAAAGTTAGAGTTTC